GATTTCTTAACCCATTGAAGAAACAGGCAGAGGTTAGGGTTCCTATACTGGCTTGAATGACTTATCTCCATTAGCAAGAGGACTTAGGTTGCTGACACATAATGGAGTGAAGAATTTATTACTAAAACTCAAGGTATACACTAGAAAGATGCCTAGTTCTCATTGCCTAATAACAATAGCCAATGTTTTAAAGACAGAAACGCTAAGGACACTGATCCCCCAGGAACAAAGATTTGGGTCACATCACCAGTAAAAGAATACTGAAATACTGAAGCACAGGGAGTAAGGGGAATTTGCAATGACTGGCATCTTTGACCTTGTAGCAATTAACAAGGTGAGCACAATGCCAGCTATGCATGTTTTTGTTGTGGTGGTGTGCCGTTGAATCAGCCCCGACTTATAGCGACCCCTCCTTGAGTTGCCGAGGCAGTATCACTACGGAAGAAGATTGCCCAACCTTCCCTCCGAGGAGTGCTATGCATATATGTTATGTTAATTGATTGTGTGCATATTGTTGGACAGGTACCAAAACAATCCTGTGATAGATGCATCTATAAACCAATTGCCTTCTGAGTCATGGCAACTCCACGTATGTCAGTGTGGACTTGTGCCCATGGGTTTTCAATGGCTGATTTTTCAGAGGTAGATCACCAGGGCCTTGCTCAGAGCACCTCTGAGTGGGTTTGAACTGAGAACCTTTAGGTTAGCAGTCAAGTGCACCAAGTGTACCACTTTGGGACCTTCCATGCATTAATGCTGTTGTTCTTAGGTAATGCTGAGTCAGTTCCAACTCACAGTAATCCCTCTGTACAACACATCGAAATAGTGCCAGGCCTGCACTAACCTCATAGTCATTGTTATCCTTAAGCCCATTGTTGCAGCCACTGTATCAGTCCACCTCATTAAAGGTCTTCCTCTTTATTCACTGACCCTCTACTTTACCAACCATGGTGTCCTTTATAGGGACTGTTCCCTCCTGATAACATGTCCAAAGTACATGACACAAAGGATCACCATCTTCACTACTAAGGAGCATTCTGGCTGTATTTCTTCCCAAACAGATTTGTTTGTTCTGGTAGTCCATGCTACATTCAGTATTCTTCAACAACACCACAGTTCAAAGGCATCGATTCTTCTTTGATCTTCCTTATTCTTTGCCTAGCTTTCACATGTATATTGAAGTAATGAAAAATACTATGGCTTGGGTCAGGCACACCTCAGTCTTCAAAGTGGTATCTTTGCTTTTCAACACTCTAAACCAGTGTTTTGAAACAGATTTGTCTAATGAAATTTGTCGTTTGATTTCTTGACTGCTGGTTCCATGGGCATTGATTGAGATGCAAGTAAAATGAAACCCTTGACAATGTCAATATATTCTCTATTTACCATGGCCAATACATGCATTAATACCTTTGCTTAATTAGATGAGTAAATTGAAGCTCCATGAGATGGGCACCCAGCTAATAAATAATAGGTCAGCACTGTCCACATCTGCCTTATTTTGAAACCTATGCTCTTTTCATATCCGTACTCTTTCCAACAGTGCTTATTCAATTTCTGCAACAAACAAAGGGTCTACCCTGATGTGAAGCAGTCATTTTCTGAGTATTTTGTTTTTGTTTTTTCACTGTTTCCACTCTGCTTTCAAACCAAATATAGTGACATGGTTTTGGTAGATTTATCACTTTTATTACCAAACAACCAGATAGAATGACAGGATCTGCTCTCCACGGTACCCACCCACCTTCCCATTCCCGGAGCTCTAACCAAGGCCATCAGCAGAAGTCTCTGTGTCCCTGACAGGAGTAAGGTAGTAAAATCACCCTTACTTTTCTAAGAGTCCAGTTCCTTTCTTATGCCCTAGTAAGTGACGTTTTCCCCAGAGGCAGTTAGGCACAGTCCCAATATTACCAAACAACACAGCAGGCCACTATTTCAAGTCCAGAGACAGCCCCAAGATCGGCAGGACACATGGCTGGCTGCTAAATGAAGACTCCGCTGCGTGCAGGGTCCAAGTGTGCCTAAAAGCTGCAGACCTTTCTCAACACTTCTCCTTATACAATGGAAGCAGACCACATCCCTAAAGCAGCTACTCAGCTGCTCCAATAGATTCCACCACGGAGTTACACCAATTTCACCACAGGGAATAACGACATCCAGCTGCCCAGCCACTCTAAAGCAGGCCCAGTCAAGTTGACACATAACCTGAAGTACCACAGTTCCACTCCTGGTCAACTTGGCATCTGTACAGATCTTTATTGGGTGGCTCCAGTCCTCTAAGGCACACTCCTCTAAAGTGGGTAGTTGCAGCAGTGGGGAGAGGAAGGATGGAAGAGGATGCATAAGCCGCAAAGGGTAATTTTAGATATAGGATTTAAGAGAGAGAGACCACGGGGGACTCTGAGACTAAATTGGGCAGGAACGGCGGAGGGGAAATGTGAGAGAGCCACCTAAACATGAAAATGGGAGAGAACGTGAGCCTAGGACGAAGTACTTTTGAGTTTTCATTCAATCTCCGCTTCCACGAACTCCAGTTTTGGAGTTCAGGACCTTCTAATTCCTCCCTCGCCCCACCTTCTCCTAATCTCTTTGCATTTCCCCTTCCGCTCCTCTTCCTTTAATCTGCCACTCTTCTTTCTCTCCCTTCACCCTTTTCTATTCCCCGCCTTCAATTCTCCTCCCATTCTCCTCCCCAGTTTTTCTAACACGCCTCTGAGAGGAAATCGAAAGTGAAATTAAAAGTCTGCCACCGATCGTTGAGTCCCCTGGTAAGGTGAGTGGAGCTGGCTACTCTAAGGGACCCCTCCTCCCCTTACCCACATTGGAAGATTCCCTTCCACCCCTAGAGCCTTGGTCCCAAGTGTCCCTTCTCCGCTGCAGAACTCGGTCGCCCCAAGCCCAGTAGCTCTTTCCGCGCAGGCGCGTGTGCCTGGGAGGAGGCTGGGCTCTCAAAGTGACCATGGTGTTAGCCGGCGGGAACTTGGCTGGCCTGATGCTGTACCCTTAGTGGGAGGAGGGGGCGCGCAGACTTGAGAGAACCGGGATAGGAGCCCGGAGGACAGCCCAAGGGAGCTCAGTGTGGGTTGGGACAGCAATCCTGGAAACGGAATTTTCCTTCCCTCCCATCTCCAAAAAATTACTCCTTCTGGAGATCGGACAGGTGCGGCTGCTCAGGACGTTGAACTAGGATGTATGCTGGCCCAAGACTGCCCAAGAGCCAGGTAGCTAAGAGAGGAGCCCAGGGAGTGCCGGCCACACGTCTTAGCTCACCCAGTGTCGCCTTCCTTCCCCAACAGCTCGCGGGATTTTCCCCATTTCCCTATCCTTGAAAGCAAAACTCCTCTAAATTTCTTCTTCCGTCTCTCTGTTTCTTCCTCTTTCATTTTGCAGTCTATGTGACTTTCTGCAAATTAAGTCTGTTTATTGATGTATGCGTACATATGTATATATGTATGTGTATATATGCATACATACATATGTCCACATCTGACTTGTGCCATTATTGTAGATTAATGAATTGTCCCTGAGTGGTACAAAAGGTTAAGATGCTGGGTCTGAAAGGTTGGTGCTTTGACATTATACAGAGGTGCCTTGGAAGAAAGCCCTTGCTGTCTGCTTCTGAAGTATCAGCAGTTGAAAACCTTAAGGAGCTCAGTTCTACTCTGACACACATGGGTCACCATGATTCAGAGTCGACTTCACAGCAACTCCTTTATTATAATTAACTTCTCAGCAAAATCAGTGATTGATTGCCGTGAAACAAGAGATGGATGGGAAACATTTATATCACCAGAAGGATTCCCAAAGTAGCAGTTGGTGGAAATGGTCCTAATGTGAAAGCTGGAAATCCCACATCCTCGTAATCATAACCCCCACAGCCTGAGCCCCCTGAATCAGCAACTGCCACCTGGACCTCCCCTCCAGCCAAATCGGCCACTGTGCATGCCACAGACAGACAACTTGATGTATATGAATAGACTCTCCAGGCTTGGCACAGAGTATTTTTTTCAGCCCATCTTCCCTTCCTTCCTTACTTTTGTCATTCTTCCCAGGCAGTTGAATTGTTCTGCTCTAGGATTGTAATGGGAGCCTTTGAAGGGTTTCAACCAGGGTGGACATAATTAAAGTAGAATTGTAAACAATTTTATCTCCAAGGTTCTGGACAATTCCCTCTGCCACTTTTGGAGACTAACTTTCCCCATTTTTCAGACCAGATTTGGATGAAAAGCCCTTGGTATTCAGATTATGTTCTTGTTTTTATTGTTTTTGCTCTGTGGTGGTTATGTTTGTGTGTCAACTTGGCTGAGCTTGGCTGAGTGGCTTGGCAGCTGGTGGTAGTATTCCCCATGATGAGACTGGTAGTCAACTCCATGGTGGAATCTACCGTGAGCAGCTGAGTAGCTGCCTTAGGGCATGTGGCCTGCTTCTGTATATAAACAAAAGCCTTGGGGAATGGTCTCTACCTTATGGCACACTTGAACCCTGCATGTAGCCGTGTCGTTTTTCAGCAGCCTGCCATGCTCTGCCAACCTAGGGACTTACAATGGACTTGAATTAATGGCCACTGTGTGGTTTGGTAACATTGGGACTGTGCCTTTTTACTTGTCAACCTTGGGCTTGGCAGCTTCAGCAGCTAACAGCTGTCTGAGTGAAGAAAAGCCTCTAGCTTCAGTGGGCCAGGAGCTGGAGGCAGAGCTGAAGCCCAAGGCTGAGAGATTTTCACCCAGCCCCTAGAGCCTGGCACTTTGAACTTAGACTTAAAGCCTCCAAACTATGAGAGAATAAACTCCTGTTTGTTCAGCCATCCCATCTGTGGTATATTCTTGTCAGCGTTGCACTAGGTAACCAGAACATGCCCCCTCCAGTTCACTTCCCCTCATGTTTCCCTTTGAATCATTTTATTTTTCTCACATAACCCTTTTGGTTTTCTTTTCTTTTCTCCTTCCCTTACTAGTCCCCCACAAGATCTCTGTGGTGCTGCTTGAAAGGGACATTTCCCCATGGCTTCAGAGATGCCCCTGGCAAAGATGTGGGAGGAGGTCACGTGTGCTATCTGCCTGGATCCCTTCGTGGAGCCTGTGAGCATCGAATGTGGCCACAGCTTCTGCCAAGAATGCATCTCTGAGGTCGGGAAGGACGGGGGCAGCCTGTGCCCTGTGTGCCGGCACACATTTCTGCTCAAAAACCTCCGGCCCAATCGGCAGCTAGCCAACATGGTGGACAACCTTAGACAGATGGGCCAGGGCACTGTGGAGGGCCCAAAAGGGGATCGATGTGAGGTACACAGAGAGAAACTTCACCTGTTCTGTGAGGAGGATGGGAAAGCCCTTTGCTGGGTATGTGCCCAATCGCAGAAACACCACAACCACACCCTGGTCCCTATTGAGGAAGCTGCTCAGGAGTACCAGGTGAGGCCTTAGCCAAAGCAAGAGCAGGTAAGAGGGAAAAGGGCCCTGAGCAGTGCTTCGTTCCTGAGCTTGGGATGGGAGGGAGTAGCCTCTGAAGGTGAAGGACTGAAAAGGAAAAGGATGTCTCCCTCCATGTCTAATCTAAAGTGGAAAATCATGGACTAAACATAACCTTCTCATTCCTGAGGAGCAGGAAATATGCTTTGGGAAAATGTTGCAAAGATCATGTTTCTGTGTGGCAAACCAAACCAACCAAATACACTGCCATCAAGTCGGACTCGACTCATAGCGACCCCTCCTTGGGTTTCCAAGGCGGTACTACTACAGAAGTAGATTGTCCAACCTTCTTTCCGAGGAGTGGGTGGTGGGTTTGAACCACCAGCCTTCTGGTTAGCAGTCAAGTGCCTTAGGTACTATGCCACCAGAGCTCCCCTTCTTAGTTAATTAAGAACGAGTAATGTCTCCTAACCCTACCATTCTAACAATGTGACTCTAGTCTACAAGACAACATCCAACTTTGTCTGAAGTCTTCCCGTCCACAGAATTCCTACCCCACTCAGGCTCTAAGACTCTATCCTTTTCTACACCCAGGGTTTTCTAAGAACAGATATGACCTTTCCTCACCCCATGTTACCCCACCCTACTTCTTAGTCTGGTTGGGGATTGATTTGCTGTCTTTCTCTGCAGGAGAAGCTCCAGAAGGCATTAGAGAAGCTGAGAAGAGAGCAGGAGTTTGCTGAGAAGTTGGAAGTCGATATTGTTGAGAAGAGAGAAGCCTGGAAGGCAAGAGTCACACCCTGATAGGGATCCTAGATCAGAAGCCTGGTTAAAATTCAAGGTCATGGACTCAAGACCCTAACCATAGCTACTATACACAGAATACTATAAGATTTATTTATCTCACTCTCTGAGGACCAGCTATCACCTTTGTCTCCTGATGAAGGGGAATAAGGAAGGAAAAAGGCTAGAAGGAGAGCTTCCAATCAAAGACAAAGGTCGAAAGTCTATAGAAAGGGGTGCTTGGGGGAGATGCCATACTCTAAAGCTCCTTGCTCCTCCAAGTCCAATCTCAGCAGACAGCAGTACCCGTACTGCAGTATTTGGAACAAACGTATCTCAAGAGAGAAGCCCAACCATTATGTATTTCAGGAAATGGTAAAGGCTGTGAGCAATAGTCTCAAGGGCTAAAGTAGGAAAATCACTCTAAGCTGGTGTTGCTTGACCATGTCCAGATCACTGGCCCAGGGTGTAATGGAGAATTAAAGCTTGTTTCTGGTGATTCGCTAGTGGAGCAGGGGTGGGTCAGGGATTAAAGAGAAGTAGAAAGACCTTGTAGACAACAAATCCCAGAGGAGGAAGATTTAGATTGAGAGAGGGAAGAATAAGGCTGCAGTAGCAAAAAGTGACCCTCCAGCCAAATCAAACCCACTGCCATTGAGTCTATTCTGACTCATAGTAACCCTCTCGGACAGAGTAGAACTGTCCCGTAGGGTTTCCAAGACTATAAATCTTCACAGAAACAGGCTGCCTCATCTTCTCCCTCAGAGTGGCTGGTAGGTTCGAACCACCAACCTTTTGGTCAGTAGTCCAATGTTTTAACCACAGTGCCATCAAAGCTCCAGTGACCTTCCACTTACCAACAAAAGAAGACAGGCAAAGAATGTTCCAGAAGTTTTCTTTTCCCATGACTTAGGAATGACATCATGAGCTCTCTCTGCGAGGTTTTTGGGGGTAGGGACAGGTGTTACTCTCTCAACAGCTTATAGAGAAATGAAAGCCAAGGGACACATTTGAGAGGTGACTGGCTTTTGGAAGAGCGGTTGAGGAAGGTCTCAAATGTGATAGGCTGATGCAGCTGTGCTTGTGCCCCCAGCAATCCAAATCCTTCTTAGTCCCAGACACCTTACCCACTAGTCTCCTCAGCAAAATTGTATGTGTATGCGTACGTGTATGTGTCTGTGTATGTGTCTGTGTGTGTCCAGAGTGGTGAATCTGCAGACTGTAGAAATTAGTACCAACACATGTCCATCCTTGAACCTTGAGTGATTCTGATTAAAAAAAAAAAAAAATCTCTCTTTCCCTTAACAATAAAGAAAAAGGTTGAGATGTACAAACTGAAGATTCACACAGAGTTTGTGCAGCAAAAGAACTTTCTGGCTGAAGAGGAACAGAGGCAGCTGCAGAAACTAGAGAAGGAAGAGAGGGATCAGCTGAGACTCCTGGGAGAGACTGAGGCCCAGCTGGTGCAGCAAAGCCAGGCCCTGCAGGAGCTGATCGCAGAGCTGGAGCAGAGGAGTCGGGGCTCAGCACTGGAACTGCTGAAGGTGAGACCAGGGAGAGGCCCCCCTGAGACTGAAGGAGTAACTGGGGAGGGAAAAAAAGAAAACAATTCTGAGCTTACCCTGAGAGTAAATGAAAACCTGGTCCTTAGAGTATTCTTAAATAAAGCAAACCAAATTAGGATTCATGAATAGTTTGCATTCAAGGCACAGAAAGGTTCAGATTTAGGGGGAATATTCCAGGCACCAGGGTTCCTAGGCAGTCCAAGTGACTAATGTGTGGAGGTTCAAATCTGCCCAGAGGCACCTTAGACAAAAGGCCTGGCAAGCAACTTCCAAAAATTCCACCACTGAAACCCTTGGAGGACAGTTTTACTGTGACACGCGTGGGGTCACCAAGAGTCAGAAGTGACTTGATGGCAATGGGTTGGGTTTGGTTGCTTATTCCATGTAACAAGGAACAGAAATGGATATCCCTGGGAAGGACCTAACATGTACTGGGGTATTATGACCTTGAAAGAATCCCTTCATCTTTCTGAGCATCAGATTTCTCGTTTGTAAAATGAATATTATGATACTACATATCTCAAAGCAATTTTGTGAAGTTTACATGAAAAACTCCACCAAGCCTCTTTAGATAAGTCTCTGGCCATGGGGAGGTTGTAATGCATGAGATACAACTAAAAATACTGGGCAGAAAAATCAAGAAACAGTAACTTAGCCCCAGGCTGTCAGTACTTTCTCTCCATAACTCTAGGTTAAGTCGTTTTCTTTTCCTGGACCTAATTTCTCCATTTGTAAAACAGCAGGGTACCTGGGAATGAACTAAATAACAAGGATTCTTCAAACTTTAGTCATAAATGTATCATCATTACAATTTCTGTTACTATTATGGACTATCTAAATGATTTTCACATGTTACTTTTCCTTAGTTAGCTCTGGTAGCGTAGTGCTTAAAGCATCTGACTGCTATCCAGAAGGCTGGCAGTTCAAACCCACCAGCCACTCCTCAGAAGGAAGGTTGGGTAATCTACTTCCGTAGTGATACTGCCTCAAAAACCCAAGGAGGGGTCGCTATGAGTCGGGTCCAACTCGACGGCACATAACAACAACAACAACATTTTTCCTTAGATTGCCTCACATTTTTTAGCCTGGCTGAATTTAGTTTAAAAGGAAATTTGTCCTAAAGAACAATAGCCCAGAAAGTATATGTTGATATGTTGTTGTTGTTGGGTGCCTCTGAGTCACTTCTGACAGATAGTGACCCCATGTGACAGGGTAGAACTGCCCCCCAGAGTTTTCTTGGCTTTCATCTTTATGGAAGCACTTTACCAGGTCTTTCTCCCATGGAGCTAATGGGTGAGTTTGAACAGCCAACCTTTCAGTTAACAGCTGAGTGCTTAACCATTGCACCACCTTGTTGATATGTTACCTATATTTTTACTCTAATTTATTTCATAACAATAACTGCAAGCTCTTAAATAGCACATGTTACATGCCAGGCATATCCTCATGACAATAAAATGAAGTGGGTGCTACTATTGTCCCCATTTCATGGATGAGAACAGTAAAGCACAGAGATGTTTAGAGTCTTGGTGAAAGACTAGAGCTAAATAACTTGACCAAGTCCACCCATAAGAGGTAGAGCTAACATTGAAATACGTACATAACTATTGTTTGAAAATTCATCAGTGCATGATCTCAATTATATGAAATATCCAGAATAGGCAAATGCCTCCAAACAGAAAATAGGTTAGTGGATACCATGGAGTAGGGTAGAGAATATGGGTATGAGAGTATAGAGTAGGGGAAGTTAATGCCACATGGAAATAGAGTTTATGTTTAGGTGATGAAAAGTTGTAGAAACCAATAGTGGTGAAGGTTGTACAACACTGTGAATATAATTAATGTCTATGAATTATATTCTAAAAATTATCAAAATGGCAAATTTTACATTATATGTATCATATTATCACAATTAAAAAAAAAAGTCACTGATAAACATTTTACTTAAAATCATCTTATATCTGTATGTTTGCTCCCCTTTGGGAAATCATAGACCAGATGGTCTCAAAAATGCCTTCTGCTCCAAATTTCTAGTTCTTCTTTTCTCACAACTTTTTACCATATCTCAGTCAGATGTGGTCATAAAGCCATTTCTATCTTGTTTGTGCAAAAAGACTGATACTGGATTGGAATGACTGACAGGCTCTCTGTTCTCATTGTCCAAATCTTGTTTCTGCCTGGCATTAAATCAGGCTTTCTGATACATTTTTGACTGGGCCTACGAGCCTACCTAGACCACAAGAGCCAAAGTATGATCAAGAGTATAGTCCACCTGGATTTATACACAGTCTCAAGAACAGATTTGATACACTGAACACTAATGACCAAAGACCAGATGAGTTGTGGAATGACGTCAAGGTCATCATACATGAAGAGAGCAAAGGTCATTTAAAAAGGGGGAGGGGAGAAAGAAAAGATCAAAATGAATGTCAGAAGAGACTCTGAAACTTGTCCTTCAATGTAGAAAAGCTAAAGGGAATGGAAGAAATGATGAAGCTCAAGAGCTGAACAGAAGATTTCAAAGGGCGGCTCAAGAAAACAAAGTAAAGAATTATAATGGCATGTGCAAAGACCTGGATTTAGAAAACCAAGACAGGAACCTCATCAGAATTCCTCAAGCTTAAAGAACTGAAGAAAAAAAATTGAAGCCTCAAATTGCAATATTGAAGGATTCTATGGACAAAATAGCATCAAAAGAAGATGAAAGGAATACAAAGTCACTGTACCGAAAAGAAGTGGTCCATGTTCCACCATTTTAAGAGGTAGCCTGGGATCAACAATGGTACTGAAGGAAGAAGTTTAAGCTGCATGGAAGGCATTGATGAAAACAAGGCTCCAGGAATTCCTAGAATACCAACTGAAAAGTTTCAGCAAATGAAGGCAACAACTGGAAATGCTCACTTGTCTATGCCCAGAAGTTTGGAAGACAGCCACCTACCCAGCTGACTGGAAGAGGTCCATATTTGTGCCCATTCCTAAGAGTGTTGCTCCAGCAGAATGCAGAATTTATTGAACAATGTCATTAATATCACCCGTAAGTAAAATTTTGCTGAAGATAATTCAAAAGTAGTTGCAGCAATAAATCAACAGAGAACAGAGAATATTCTCAGATGATTTGATTTCACATACATAAGGGGCAATTAAGCACAGTACTGGACAGAGCTTTGACCAACCAGCCCTTTTCCCAAGAACAATTCAAACCCATAAATGAGAGAGCAACTTCTGGGCATCCTAACTTAGACATTCATTCCCTGTGACTTTCACTGGACTTCAACCAGGCTGCACTATTATCCCCTCCAGCACACAGGATCTGGATTTTCTACTTCATTTTCTAAACTAGAGTCCTTAAACTGATTACCTTTCCTCTAGCTATAGGTCACACCCATGCTAGGTTCTTGGGTATCCCATAACCATCACACACCCTTTCTTCTTCAAGCTGGTCAGACACAGCTTTCAGCTCCTGAAATGGGGCAGAGTAGTGCCCTAGGACCACAGGTTTGTATCATATCATCCTCAGAACCAAAGTCTCAATAGTGAACCAGTAATCCCAGAACTTACTCTCTGTCTTTTTTCTCCTCAGGAGATTAAACATATCCTGGAAAGGTAAGGAGAGATTTTCTTTGTAAGGGTGGGTGGTAGCAGGAAACATACATACCTTTGAAAAAGGTTATTGAGCTAGAAGCCATTTGCTAAAGTTTCCCAGTCCTCCCTATTCTCAAAGACCTGATACTCCATAAAATATTTCCTAGTCTGAGAAGGCTAATTAGTGGGCATCCCCGTTAGTGAGTTGCCCCCAGTGACTGGACTGTAATATCTTCACAAACTGAAGCCCTGGGAAACAGGGAAATTCTGGGATGTTCTGAGTGTACATCATGCTGGGATTCCTTTTTTAAATGTAATTTAACCAGTTACAGACCACCAGGAAAGAGCCATGACCTATAGCATGAGTGAGACTCCTTGAGTTTCTTTACAGAAGTTTTGCAGGCAGTATTAGATGACTTTCCCTGTAAAACACAATGTGGCATGTGCTTACACAGTGACCAGGCTTGGAGAGGAGATAGGAACTGTCTGCATGCTGCAGAGACTTGTGCAGTCAGGAACTCCTAGGTAGGAACTGAATCATCCAACCAGGTGGGGTTTGTAAATTTGTGTTCAATTAAATTATCACAGTCATCCATGAGGGAAGTTACTGCATTATGGTTCCAGAAGGCTGTGATAGGAGTTGGAGATGTGGGTCTCAAACTCTTTTTCCCTCAGGAGCGAGGCTTGGAAACTGAGTGAGTTGGACATTGTCTGCCCAGACCTGAGGAGTGAGTGCCGTGTGCCAGGGATAAAGAAGATGCTGAGGGCGTACGGAGGTGAGGCGAGCCCTTGGAGTTGTGGGACTGGCCTGTGTGGGGAGCAGAAAGGTACAGCAATGATGTAGAGCTGGTACCCAGGGTGGGGTAAAACAGCAGTGTCAAGGAGAGATGGTAAGTTCGAGTAGGTAGGACAGGACGGAGATAGTGAAGATAGTTCCCTCAATGGTCAGCAAAAGTGCCAGGGTTAGCCAAGGTGCTATTTCCTCGCACACTGAGCCTCCAGGTGACTCCCTCATCCTCACCTCACAGTTTACACATGCCCAGGCCACTGACCACAACCACTCTTAGCCATCCTACACTCTCCAAACCTGACCATGGTTCTCTCTCTGCAGTACACATCACTCTGGATCCAGACACAGCCAATCCATGGCTCATCCTTTCTGAAGATCGGAGACAAGTGAGGCTTGGAGACACTCGTCAGGAGGTGCCTGAAAATGAAGAGAGATTTGATAGTTATCCCATGGTCCTGGGTACCCAGTGCTTCGACTCTGGAAAACTTTACTGGGAGGTAGATGTGACCGGAAAGGAGGCCTGGGACTTGGGGGTTTGTAGATACTCTGTGCAGAGGAAGGGACATTTTTTGCTTTGCCCTGAGAATGGCTTCTGGACAATTTGGTTGTGGAACAAACAAAATTATGAGGCTGGCACTTCCCCCCAGACTTCCCTCCACCTTCAGGTGCCTCCATGCCAAGTTGGAATTTTCGTGGATTGTGAAAACCACACTGTCTCCTTCTATAACATCACTGATCACGGCTCCCTCATCTACACCTTCTCTGAATGTGTCTTCACTGGGCCTCTGCGGCCCTTCTTCAATCCTGGTTTCAATGATGGAGGAAGAAATGCGGCCCCTCTGACCCTGTGTCCACTGAGGCTGGGACGGTAGAGGCCCACTGACTGTTGGTGGCTCTCCTCTGAGCACTGCCACCTGCTCCCTGTTGGTACCCTTCTCAATCACTCTCCCTGCCTCTCTTTCCATTAACCTCTGCAGAGGTGTCAGCATCCCAGCACTGGACTTTGGCCGAGAGGTCACTGATAGTCAATGTCAAGTGGCTTTCAATATCCTTGCCCTGGAATGCTATGATTCCCCCCAGGAAAGCCTGTTTGGCCCAAACTCATCTGGATCAGCCAAAAACATGTTTCTGCCTTCTTTATGTGATTCAAATTTTGTTTTTTGCTCTCCATCCCTCCAACCATTGCCTTTGGTCAGATCTCTTATTCTGTCTTGCTTGGTTTACCAAAAGGCTTCCCAAGGGAATTCTTCCTCAATCTATCCCATTTTGACTTTGTTTCTCATCCACCTAGCATGAGAAATGAGGGCTGAATTATGCAGGCCTTAGACCATGGTCAATATCCAGCCTTCTGTGTTCCTGAACCCTCCCACACACACACCTTAAACATGAAATATTTGCCACTCTGAATATGATTAATATTGATGTGTCTTTGACATTGCACACAATGTTTTTCCTGCCGGGATCTTTCTCTCCCTTCTTCTGCAACAGAATATTTGCTTTTAGATTGTAAGATCCATGTCAAGAATCTCTTCTGTAATTCACTGTCTCAGTTACCTATTGCTACCCTAACACAAGTACCATAAACAGGTAGCTTTAGGGAAGAGAAATTTATTTTCTAGAGTTCTAGAGGCTAAAAGTTCAAATCAGGGTCTCAACTATTAGTATCCCTGGACATTACTCAGTTCCTTAGTGTTCCTTGGCTTGTAGACAATCCTCACATGGTGTCTGCTCATCTTTCCTTATGTGTATGTCTCTGGCCATTCCTCTCCCTCAGAAGTGATTAGATTTAGAAACCACCTGCCAGAACAATTTCTCTCAGAAAGATCAGCACAAGGCTGGTCCCCATGAGGCGGAGGTTAAAGATATCCCAAATGTCCAAACTACCATACCACTCCATCATTTCAGACATTAACTACTACTCCTCCTCCCAGTAATTTCTCCAGTCTAGGATTCTGTGTTTTGCTGTAACACCTCACAGAACTCACAGACACCCAAGGGATCATCTCACGTAGTCGTGGTGGAGGCTGGCAGGCTGGTAAGTCCCAGGTCCAGGAGTGGGTCTGGAGGATCCTAGCAATTCTCGGGGTTTGATGAACCTTGATCAGCAGATCAGATGACGGCTGCTGTCCCAAATCCAGGGTTAGATGAGGATGAGCCAAAACACAAAACAGGAGCAAGAGGAGGGTGAACCTTCCGATTCGTAGGTATACCCTCAAGGAAGCTAAGGGTGGTGATTTGAATTATACCCTCCAGCAAGGCAGGACTCAAGATACATTCCACCTGTGTTGCCCCAACAGAAATAACCTAAGTGGATGGCTTTAACAATCAGCAGCTCAAAGCAAATCCTATCATAGAGCCAATTGATAGTCATTATAGGAAATGACTATTACCAGCTGACCAGCCAAGTTGATACCTGACCTTAACTACCACATCACCCCAAACAGGCATGGATAATAGGATTTACAATACATCACAGAATGGGGGACAATGGCTAGAAGGGCCACATCAAGCAATTCACCGCACCACCCTACTCAGGTGTGACCTAATTAACAACAAAGAAAATCCCATTTCCAAATACAATCACACCCACACTTATGAGGGCCAGGACTTCAAAATATGTTCCTGGGGGACTCAATTCAATCCATAAAGCTCCCAATGGCAGCCATTGTGGTGATGGGAGACCCTTTGAGACTGATCACTGCCTGAGTTGATGTTACCTCTTCAAAATGAGGGAACTCCCAACTTTGAAAGACAAACTTTTCCTGGGACTGGACCCCAGAATCCCTGATCCCTCATCACAGACCTGAGACATTCTCTGTTGATATTTTCAGTAGGTTGGCCAGTGACAACTTCAAAGTACCTGGAGCACTCTGTCCATGGGAGGTTAAGGGTGGGATACTCTGCTATCAGTGTTCTTCCTGTTAAATGAAAAACTCCTGTAAATTGTCTCCTTTATGGGTAAATTGTTCTGATTTTTCCATACATATTAAATGGGCTCATTATCCATGACACTTACTATGTACCTTATGAAGAAAGAATCCATAGGCTCAGGCATATTGTTTGCCTGCAATCTACAAGGAACCCTGAATATAATGCCATTGCTGGTAAAGATTGTATTAAATTTGGGAAACAGTGAAGGCAAAGAGTTTATTAATAAGGTCTCCTCATAGCCACTAAAATTAAGGCATTCTCCAAGTGTGAACAAGTCAATACTAATATGAATATAGTTGTGTCAGGAAAGATGAATCATGGCAAGGCTCTCATCTTCTTAAAAAGCTTACAGGAAAACCTATTCGTCAAGTAGAGCAGAGACAAACCCTTTGGGAATGCCTAATATTTGTTCTTATAGCCATTCCAGTCACTGAGCTGACAGTAAGAGCCCTGCATCTTATCCTGAGTACTATCCGCTGCTACCTGCTGCCTCTCAGGATCTTCTTGGACTCATAATGATATTACTCTTAGGTTTAGGTTTATACAATGCTGTTGGTTGCAACATCATACACATCTATTTGAATATCATCTGCTTTTCTGATTCTCTGTATCTCTCTCTTGGAGTTAGCCAATGTAAACAATGGTTTGTGACCTTTAATTGATAGTGGTTGGAGGAGATATAATAATAGAAACTTAATCTGATTTCTCAAAATTTGAATGCATTGGTATATTGAGTTACCCTGTATCTTAGTTATCTAGTACTACTATAACAGAAATACCACACATGTCTGGCTTTAACAAACAGAAATTTATTCTCTCACAGTTTAGGAAGCTAGGGATCCAAATCAAGGATGCCATATCTAAGAGAAGCCTTTCTATCTCTGTCAGCTCTGGGCGAAGGGTCTGGTCTCCTTTCAACATCTGTGGACCTAGCATTCCCTGGAGATTTCCATATGTGTTGATCTTCCTCTGGGTCTAGAAGCTCCTAGCACAGGGACCTCAGGTCCAAAGGACATGCGCTACTCTGAGACCTTCTTTCTTGGTGGTGTTCAGGTCCCCCTATCTCTGCTCACTTGTTTAATCTTTCATATATCAAAGAGATCGACTCACAATACAACCTAATCCTTTAGATTATCCTGTGTCATTTACATAACTATCTCATTAGCATCATAGAGATTAGGATTTCAGTACATAAGAAAATTACATCAGATCACAAAATAGAGGATAATTACATAATACTGAGAATCATGGCCTGCCCAAGTTGCCATATTTTGGGGGGGACACAATTCAATATTTGCCACCCTGAGATACTTGGGAATACTGCCACACAGATAACATCCCCTTGATCCCCTTGGTCCCCACCAAAAAGAATCAACCAGTAGAGATTTCATGGTATCTCAACTATCACCCTCACCATTAGTCACTAACAAATGACACAGCCCCCTCCCTGTCAGCACAACAGATTCTCTTAAGATATGAGGAAGGATACTACCAGCACTAATTTCAATTTTGATAATATAGTCCTTTAAAATGCAGGTAAAGCCTGTTGCATTTCTTGATCTCCTCAATTCTACAACTTTCTGAAGTAGAAGCAGAGGTTATTATACCAAAATTTTAAAGATACAATGATGCAGAAAGCAATGAGAACTAAAAATTTATTTACTGCTTACTCTGCCTCATGCATATTCAAGATCCTTTCTAAGCTTTATTTTATTTAGTTCTGTCATATCCCTTTGATAAAGGTATAATCAGACAGAATCAAGAAATTTAAAGATATGCCTTCATTTCTAATTCAAAATAAAATTTTATTTTTCAAAATGTTATCAGATATATATACACATATGATTAGATTAAAATAGATTATTTTTAAATGTTCTACTTTAAATATTCCTGTTAAGTTCATTGTAGGTAGTTTTCTCATTGTTTGACTTGGTTTAGTTTAGTTTTCATGACTCTTGGGTACCCTAAGCATGAGGTTAGATTGCCTCATGGATAACCTGTTAGTGAACAGTGATATTCCCATTTTACAAATGAAGTAAGAGTTGCTGAGAAAATAAGTAACTTTCCAAGGCCCAACCTAGCATTATTGATGCCAAGATTCAAGTTTAATTCTGATCCAAACGTCCATGTTCTTTCTAAACACTAACCTTTCAAAAGTCACATGGTAATCTGGATATTAACTTTATTATCTCCAAAGTCAATAAAAATCATTTTGTTCAATGAAGTCAATGGAACAAACTCTTAATTTATAAGTCTCCACAAAGTAGACAAAGGAATATGAATTCCAGTATTGGTAAACATACCACATAGTCAGTTACACAAATTCAGCATTATTTACACTGTGAAGACAAAGTACTAACCACACATTCTTGAATGTGCCTAATCTGGACCCCACATATGATGGGATTCAGCATTGGAGAGCAGACATTGGCCAGCAGGATGTATGTATGGTAAGGAAGGAACATGGCACCCAAATTGTTGGGTAATTATGGTAAAAATGCCAGGCAAGTAGAACATAGAGAAGACTCAAGATGGGAGCCACATGCTCCCAGAGACTTAATGCCAAGCTCCTTGGGAGAGGAGGCAGAAGATCACATAAAGGATGAGGACATAGGAAACTGTGCTGACCAAGGCATAGAAGACCACCATAGGAGGACAGACACTGACATGAATAACAGCACAGGCAAACTTGGCAACAGATGTGCTCACAGCAGGTATGTGGGAACCCATTGCTGTAGCAGAAAGCCACTTCACCAGGAACATATCTGGGAGTAGCACACAGAAATTTCTCAAGACCATAGACAAGCTAATTCTTAAAATTATAGCACAACTGAGCACTGTGGTATAGCACAGTGGGTCACAGATGGCCACATAGCAATCAAATGCCATTGCCAACAGAATCCCTGATTCAGCAAAGAAAGGTGTGAATAAAGATTTGAGC